TGAGCCACCAACGTCCAGCCTTATTTGATTTCTTAAAGAAGATTTATTTATTTTTATGCCTGGAGAGACAGCTGTGGGTGCTGGGAACCAAACTCTCATATTTTTGGCTCTGAGTCTAGCCTTTAATGGCTGAGCCATCTCTCCAGCCCTTATTTATTAACTTGAGGTATATCTGTGGATATCTGAATGTATGTTATATGTACCATGTGCACAAACCCAGAGGAGGTCAGAAGAAGTTATTGGATTCCCTGGTGGTGGAGTTATAGGCATTTGTACAAATGTGGGATGGAGAAAATGAACCTGAAACCTCTTGAATAGCATCATATGCTCTTAAGCTGAGCCATCTCTCCAGCCCCACTCTCTGTTTTGTCTTCTTGGTGCAGTTTCACTGTGTATCCCTGGTTGGCCTGAAATTTGACATGTAGATCAGGCTGTGGCAATTATGCAAGTGCTGTGATAATAGACATGTGGCATTACATCCCACTCCCACTTGTGTGTGTGTGTGTGTGTGTGTGTGTGTGTGTGTGTGTGTGAACTGATTCACTCTTGTTTTCTTGTGCGGGTCCAGGAAATGAATTACTGTCATCAGAACTACCTACAAATGCCTATATCCTGAGCCATCTTGCCGGCCCCCTCCTTTGTTTTGTTTACTTGTTTACTTTTCTTTTGACAGAAAGTCTTATTAAGTTGCCCTGGCTCTAGTTGAACCAGCTCTGTAGCCAGACAAGCCTGGAACTTGAGATCCTTCTGCCTCAGCCTCAGCATGGATAACAGGCATGAACCAATGGTCCATGATCCAGAAATATTTTATATATTGTTTTGTTTTGTTTTTGAGACAGGGTCTCTCTTTGGTTTTGGAGCCTGTCCTGGAACTAGCTCTTGTAGACCAGGCTGGTCTCAGACTCACAGAGATCCACCTGCCTCTGCCTCCCGAGTGCTGGTACTAAAAGCGTGCGCCACCCCACGCCCCTGGGAAATATTTTATATATTAAATATTTCTATTGCTCCATTCTTTTTCCTTCCTTTATATATTGAGCCTGAAATAATGGTAGGACACTTTATTTATTACTCAGTCTAACAGGGGTTAAATCACAGACTAAGATTCCTAAGTATGATACACTCTGTGATTTATTTAAAAATTCTATTATCAGATCTTTTTGGTTGTATTTTTTTCTACATTATTAGTAATCACTGATAAAAAGTCTTTAAATTGTGGTGCTCATTTATGATTCTTCCTCCAGGAATAGTTTCTAAAGCCTCATGATGGCTTGTTCTTTTTCTGAGTTCCTTTCTGGGAAGGTTGTATTGATTGACACTCCCACCTTAAATAGCTAAAAGTACCTATGGTACAGCACCTTCCTTGACAGTGGGTATTATTAATTTTTAAAACCTTGCTGGAGTTGGATTACCATGCCTCTAACCCCAACACTTGAGAGGCAGAGGCAGACAGATCTCTGTGAGTTCGAATACAGCCTGCTCTGAGTAGAGAGTTCCAGGCCCACCAGCCACTTCTCCAAAACAGAAATAACAAAAAATAAAAGTAGAAGAAAGATACCTATGTCAACCTCAGGCCTACAAATGTGCACATGCACTTTGTGCACATGCACTTCCACACATAGAAACTCACATACACACAAGCACCTACACCATGTACAAATACCTAGGCAAAAACCAAACAATAAACATTGTTAATTTCACTGGGATTGGGCAGTTTTTTGCAAGCATTAACTCATTTCTTGTTCATATCTTAACTACAACTCTATAAATTGCCCGTTTGGTGATCTGGCCTCTGAAGTAGATGTAGAAAAATTAGACTCCCAAAGCTTAAACTTTTACCCAAGCCTGTAAAACAGAAAATCCTGGACCAAGCTGTGCTTAACCCAGAGATGGTGGCCTTTCTCCTAAACCACTCTGCCCCCTGCTGGAGAAGAATGGAGCTCCTGAAGCAACCAAGTCCCACTGACTGAGGCCCTTTGAGTTCCCTCTGTGTTTGTGGTAGATAAACACTGTTTCAACCATGTGACTCTGGGATTTCAAAAAATTAGAACAGCACTAGGTGTTCTGGAATATGAGACCTTGGGAGATGCAAGCCTAGGAGGTTTGGAAGTTTGAGGGCAGCTTGGGCTATGTTAGACCTGTTTTTCTTTTTTAAATTTTTTATTTTTTTAAAGATTTATTATTTATTTATTTATTTATTATTATAAATAATTTATTTTTATATAACATATTTATATATAATTTATTATAAATAATAATAAATTAAAGATTATTTATTATTATACAGTGTTCTGTCTGCATGTGTCCCTGAAGTCCAGAAGAGGGCACCAGATCTCATTACAGATGGTTGTGAGCCATCATGTAGTTGCTGGGGATTGAACTCAGGACCTCTAGCTCTGAGCCATCCCTCCAGCCCCCAGTTAGACCTGTTTTAAAAGCAATAAATAAAAAATGAGAACATTCATGAAGGTGTGTGCACTTCAGATTAGGATGAAGGAGATGCTTTCTCCTTCCTTTGTTCCTTCCCCCTCTCTCTTTCCCTCCCTTCTTCTTCCCTTCCTTCCTTCCTGACAGTGTCTCATGTAGTCCTTGCTGGCCTTGAATTCAAATCCTCCTGTACTGGAATTACAGGGACTTTTGTTTGTTTTCACCTGTTTGTGAAGCAGGGTCTGACTAGGTAGCCTGGGCTGAACTCAATCGTGTAAATCCTACTACCCCAAAAGGTGGATTACAGGCATGTGCCACCACATCTAGCTGAGACTTGTGCACTTTAAATAAGTTGTACGGAGAAAAGGGAAGTTTTAACTTTATAATGCTAGAGATAGAATTAACTTTTAAAAGTTATTCTTGGATCTATGATTTACACACACACACACACACACACACACACACACACACACACACACAAAATATTTGTTGAACCCTTACAAGCTGAGCCCTGAACTATAGGCACCAGAAATAGTAACTCAGCACTCAGCTCATTTTAATACAGTTCCCATTGGGGCCTCACTAGGGCAGAATCATAACTGTAGGAGAAAAGGGCCAGCCAAAGAAACACATCCTGGGGGCTGGAGAGATGACTCATCGGTTAAGAGCACTTGGACTGTTTTACCAGAGGTCCTGAGTTCAATTCCTGGCAACCACATGGTAGCTTACAACCACCATAAATGAGATCTGGTGCCCTCTGCTGGCATGCACACAGAAGACTGTATACATAATAAGTAAATAAAATATTTAAAAAGAAAGAAAGAAAGAAAAGAAAAGAAACACACCCTGAGCAGAACCAAAAGAAACATACTTTGTCCCTGCAACCAGAACCAAAGAAATGCACCCTGACCCTGAAACCAGTGCCAAAGAAACACACTTTGTCCCAAGAATCAAAGCCAGTGGGGAGAAAAAAATCACCCTGGCCCTAAAATTAGAGCCAAAAGGCTAAAAAGGACCAGTGAAAGAAACACACCTTGTCCCTGAAATCATAGCCAAATCTAAACCTGAACCTATACAGAAAACCAACCAATTCCTGAGCATGAGATCTAGCCATTCTGAGCTCAGGGATTGACATCTGACCAATCCCCACCCTGGAAATCTCCCTGGAAAAATTCTGCCCCTAAGAAGTCCTATATAATAAACCCTGTGCCCTGTTCAGCTTGTGGCTGTCCGGCTCTTCTCTGCCACTATAGCTGGTTTTTCGAGGCAGGGTTTCTCTGTGTAGCTTTGGAGCCTAGCCTGGCATTCGCTCTGTAGACCAGGCTGGCCTCGAACTCACAGAACTCTGCCTGCCTCTGCCTCCCGAGTGCTGGGATTAAAGGCCTGCACCAACGCCCGGCTACAATAAATCTATTGAATGAGGTTTGGGTGAGACCTTCCTTCACAAGAATAGAGTCACTGGGGCCAGAGCAGAGCAGAGCAGAGCAAACAGAGCAGGGCTGTAACACTTACGCAGGGTAAACCTTCCTCTAGCTAAGTGGGAGGACCTGAGCTGAACTGTAACAACTTCTCTGGAGAAACCCTCTCCTGTCAGAACAGAGCTGATACACTGGGGAAGCCTTTCCCTGGAGCAGGGCTGTAAGCTGCTATGCTTACTGTGACCTGTGGTATTCCTTGGCTCCCGAATGCCAGAATACCTTTCCATCCTAGATGTAACACTCAGTATTCTTTGGCTCCCTAGTGCCAGAATCCCCATCCCTCCAAGCTGCAGCAATGCTTACAATAACAGTACCTCCATTATGTATGCTTGACAGAAAGGAAAAGTAACTTGTTCAAGGTTTGTACAATAACAAGAACTATCCAGATGTGAAGGTAGATAATTTTGTTTCTTTTAAGAAAGGGCTCACCAAGGAGTTTTGATTGCCACAGCTAGGACTGCTTCAGAGAGTGGCTTAAAACCTTGTTGCACCTGAGCTCTGAAGTGGGTTCAAAGCCAGCAACTTTACATGACCTGTTTTAGAATAATTTTTTACGGGGGGGGGCACACTGTGTGGTGGGAGACCACACAGTTGGTAAAATGCTTGCTGTAGAATACCGAGGATTGATTCTGAGAACAAACCCACGTTAATTTTTTTTTTTTTTAATAAAAACAAAAGCTGGCCAACACTATGAGGAAAACGCAGATTTCCAGGCCAATCTGGTCTACATCATGAGTTGCAGGCCAACCGGGGATACATAGTGAGAGTCTGTCTCAAAACAAAGCAACCAGCCCGGCGTTGGTGGCGCACGCCTTTAATCGCAGCACTCGGAAGGCAGAGGCAGGTGGATCTTTGAGAGTTTGAGGCCAGCCTGGTCTACAGTGTGAGTGCCAGGATAGGCTCCAAAGCAACACAAAGAAACCCTGTCTCGAAAAACAAAAAAACAGCCTTTTCTCTATTATACTGCTTTTCACAATTTGCAGAATGTTTAATAATATGCATGCGTTTATTTTTCATATTCTTCACAGTGTCCCACGTCAGCAGCATAACCTTCAAAACTACGCTCCTGGCTGGGCTGTGTGGACTTCAATCCCCAGCAGGCATTGCACCAGACACAACGGGAACTACGGAGGCCGAGGAGGGGGTGTGTATCTCTCTCTGGGTCCTTTCCCTCCCAGAAGCCCGCGGGCGGC